AAATAATGTGCTATATAAATAAATTAGCCCTGTTTGTCTGCCTGCCTGTTTGTGCTGGAAAGCATGACAGAATTACTGAATAAGACAATCATTTTTTTGCAATGAAAGAACATGTGATTGGAAACCCACTGCAGTCTCGACTAGTATTTCTTTCACCGTTACTAATCAGATGATGCTGTTCGCAATAAAAGAAATAGAGCAGCAATCGGTTTCATTCACCCACAGAAACAGAGCGGACGTTTCCAGCTAAAGCACGTATCACGTCTCATTTGTCTTATATTTAGCCTGTGCTTATGGGCAGATTATGGATTTACTAAACCACGGCCATCATTTGTCTTCGTTCACAGACACGATCATCTGGAATTAGACTCCGATTAATGCTGATACATGAAGAACAAGACGTTCAGCAAAGGAGTGGTTCGTGCATCATTATAAAGCGGATAGTTCCGGTCCTTGATTCTGATTGGCTGAGCCGCGTTCGAAGCTGTTGCAAATTACTCTACAAAGTAACACACACCTTTGTTTATGTTTGTGTGTTGCTCGGCAACCACTTTGTAGCAACCACAACTGTTTCTGAGGAGCTACATTGTTTGATGGAAGAATACTGTTTTTATTAATATCATTACACTTTACCGGCATGGGAGGCGGACGCACTAACAAAGAGGCTAAATACTGCAGCCTCTAGCGTCAGTCGCTGGTCTCCGTTACACTCGGCAACCACTTTGTAGCAACCACAACTGATTCTGAGGAACTACATTGTTTGGTGGAAGAATACTGTTTTTATTAATATCATTAAACTTTATTTGCTCTGTTTTATTTTGTGAAACCTTACTACGTATATGGAATAACCGTTTTATAAAAGCAATAATCCCGGTGAAGCCCTTCTTGGGGCTTATTACTTTAATAAAACGCTCCTCTGTGACGATCATCAGCCTGATGCCACCAGTCAAGAAACCTCCCAGCTCAGTAAACGTAGCAATTAAATGTACAGACTTGCCTGAGTCTGAGCTTTGATATTTAACAGCTGGACAGAGTGGCTCCTGCGCTGACCTCTGACTGACCCGGGATCAAGGCGAAGG